AGTTGCACCTGAATCTAAAAGCCCTTTAACCTCTTTTCCTTCGATTTTAACGCTAACGTAAGGTCTAGGATCTTTAGTCTCTTGAAAACGCTCAATTGCATCGCATATAATCCTTTTCCTCATTCGGTTTTCCTTTTGATATTTTCTTAATTTCATAATTCTTATTTTACTTTTTTCTTTCTTGCTAGTATTTTTAGTCGGATTCGGGTTCTCGCTATTGCTTTCACCGAAAATTCTTGCTTTAACATTTTCGTAGTTTTGTTGCCTAGATTCTAAGGGTAAATAATGTCTTCGTGAGGCATAATCCTGAGTATTTCCCGAATCTGAATCTAATTTATTGGCGGGTTTACTATCTTGGAGGGCTCGGAGGAACGATGGTTCCCCGTCGCAACCATGTTCTTCCGGGAGTTTTCCGAAGCGCAGTTCGAGCATTTAGGGGTTATTGTGTTTGGTCTGCCACATTTAAAGCAAAACAAACCCCTTTGTGTTGCAGGACAGTCTCTAAAACCGTGGCCTGGTTTTTGGCAGTTCCAACAGAGAATTGGGTTGCTCGTAAAAGCTGCAACTTCTACCACTTCATCTATTTCTTCAACCCTATTCAATTCTAACTCCTCTTCCTGCAAAGCACTAACCCGAATAGGTCTATTTACGGGCGGAAATTGTGTTGGTGGTGGTGCTACGCTATCTTTTTTGAAGAACGTACGTTCTATTTCTAAACATTCAATCCTCAACTGTTCCACAGAATTCACTGGCAACGCATAAACTATGCTAGAAAGATTTTTCCGTAAATTTTTCTTTACTAGAGAAATCATTTCGTATTCTGATACAGGCTTCTCTAGTTTAGAACGCATCAAATTCACATCATGGAAGAATGAATCGATTGATTCTCCCGGCATTTGTTTCCGTTCCAATAAATCCCTCATAGCCTCGAAACATGTCCGCCTAGTCTTAAATCTTTCCGTTAACCCGTATTTGAGTGATTCCCAATCAGCTATGTTTGAATTTCTTTGCTGGAGCCAAAACCATTCATAGGCTGGTCCTGACAATAGAATATGAAATTCATTTAAAATCTCCTCCCAGGCTAAACGATAGTGTTTTTGGAAATATTCCAACCTATATATGAAATCTTCGACCGACAAACTATTCGGCCTTCCCGAAAAATTCAATCCAAATCTTTCAATTCTTATTCCCATATTGGGTCCCAGTCTATAAATTGACGGTGTTACAGTGGCATGACGATTTGAGTGTGTCTGGTATTCGGTGTTGATAGGTGGTGGCTGAGTAGTGGGTGGAGGCTGAGTAGTGGGTGGAGGAACGTGGGGTACCTGGGTTTGATCCGTCGGGGGTCTATCTATAGATAACCTGGCGATTACTTCATTCAAATGTTGTATCGCAGCATGTACTTTCCCCATTTCATGACTTACGCTCTCCTGAACTAATGACCTTATACTATTGCGAGCGTCACTTACACTCTCTTGGACCATCCCCCTTATGAGCTGATCCATCTCGTTAGGCGGATTTACTTGATCAGGTTGCATGCTCAATGGCCTTTGGATACCAGAGCTAGGCAAATTATTGGGGTTATTAATAGTCCCGGACAGATCTCGAACAGTACTATCTCTATTTTCCATTGTTTCTTCACCTCTTTTCTTTTTATTCTTCGGCTTTGGTGTTTGAGTCAGAAACCTGCTACTATCAAACGCTAAAACTCTATTTCTTTTACTTTGTCTTTTCCCTGATGTATATTCACTCATTAGAATGATCAAAAATGCATAAAATTCAGAAAACACAATATCAAAAATTAAATATCTATTTAAATGCGAACCGTAAATGGAAGGACAATATCAGTAAATTTAAAACAGAAAACGGAAATTTAACTAGTATCTATTTATCAAAAAAAAAAAACACAAAATTTAAAAATAAATATAGAAATCTATCAATAAGTAAAAATAATAATAACATAAAAAATCAATTCAAACACAACACAATAAGAACTTATGATAACACAAACATAAATAACATAAATACGAATGAACAAAAAAAAATATCAACTAAAAATAAAAAATATGTATATGTATATATTTTAAACTGAACCGAACTAGACAGATATTACAACAATATTACTTTCTTCAAAATATGAGGTAATAGGATGTGTTTTCAATTGTCTGGCAAGTGTGTGGTTTTGATTTATATAATTTTAAGCTTTTTTTACGAAAAGTGTCCTTTTAGGTTGTCACGGTGTATTGTAAGACGTGGATTTAAACAAGTGGACAAAACATATTACATGCAAATAGACATTACGGCAATTTCCTAATTCTTGCGAAGGAAAAAGATCTCGTATTTAGAGTAATAAAATACAATGCTCTTGCGACTCACTTCGTCCCAGAGGCTATTGCACTTATTCCCTTATGTCTACTACAGACTATTTAATCTACTCTAAATACAAACAAAAACGTAAACAGTACAGGTCATCACACAATACATCATTTGTTACAGTAGACGAACAAGAGCTATTGCACTTGACCCATTCGATTTGGAAACGAATATCCTAATTTTTCTCAGACTTACAGCTAATATTGCACATTTAACACGACTTCGATCACGAAGTTGTGGTTGCGATATTCGCTATGCAAGAAAAATGCGATATTCGTTTTTTAATCTATTTTCTTAAATGGTCTATTGAACAGTGCCTCGGTGTTATTGCACTGAATATTTCGATTATTATCGTTTCAGTTTGGGCGCCATATTGTTATGGTTACCACCTTATGCGGTACTGTGGTGTGTATCCAGCTGCTCAGGGGAGCTTTTTGCTCAGGGTCGGTTCCAACCCTGACACCAACAGTCCAAGGGACCTAACAATTAAAAAAAGGGGACATATTACAACATCAAAACAAACAAAAATACAAACACTGCATACACCGGTGACAAGGGTGCTTGGTGGAAGTTGCACCCACACTTAGCCCACCCAACCTTGACCCTTTTGTCCAGTAATTTTTAAATATTTAAGGGCCCCGCATTCCACTAACACTTACCACACAACTTACATCCTATATTCCCCCAAGAGTTTACAAATTAGCACATCATATCGACTATTAACACTTACACATATAAATAATTTATTGACATATCGAGAGTTGACTTAATCCTAACAAATAAATATTTGAACAATGTTGACTTTAAAATTCCTAACACCTGAATCTGTCTTTATGTGAGCCAATCGCTCGGGCTACTACAGTCTACGAAGAGTACATAAAAATTTTTGCCAATCTGGCCACTTTTTGCATCTACTCCCTCCCTAATAGAGCTCTGTTAAGGGGGTATTATGGACGTGACCTTATGTCCAAAATTACCAATAAACTGGAACTCTCCCTTCGTATGACGGTCTAACCCTACGCTCAGGTATATAACCGGGCGTTAGAAATTTTCACAATATAAAAATCTTAACCTAAATTCTATACACTAAGGACAATCACACTTAAACTACAGACAATTACATTAAATTAAACTAGTCAGTACAAAATTTTGGTGTCATTCCATTTTTCATTCAAATTAATTATTAATCAAAATTCTCTTCTTTTTTTCCAGGCCGCAGGAGGAAGATATATATATGCCACTTGGCCGCACCAACCGTTCAGGACTCGGTAAGTTTTAATAATACAAATTATTACCTGGAGATTCTGTACTTATATATTTTCTTTTCTTTCCAGATATTGATGATCTTTTTGACCTTTTCGGCATCAGACCTACCGAGCCGACCATTGTTTGAATACCGGTGCTTTGGCGGACCGGGGCTTGGCCTCACTCACGGACTTTCTGGGCAGCAGCGCTTCTCTTGCGTTTATATAAAAAAAAAATCCGCTGACCTCCTCCACAGACGAATTGGAGGGGTCAGAATTCTAGCCGTTTTCACGTTGGGTGTTGTCTTAAAAAGAAGAAACACTTCATAGAAACACCAAAAGAAAAACATACACTATTCGAACAACAAAAACTTACAAATTCTTGGTCACACACACACATACACAATAAACAGCAAATAAAAAATAAAAATTACTGAAAATTTCCTTCCAACTTTGTGTTTTAATTGGTTCACTTATTTGATTTTCAGTTAAGAAACAATTTTATTTTCCGTCCACCAAAACTTCAATGGCGAATTTTCTCTCCGTTACCCCTTTTATACGGGAGCCATTAGACGCGATTTTCCCACTTTTCCATATTTTTTTTGTTCTTCCTTGTTTATTATGTTCCTCTTTAATCGCACTTTGGGAACCCTATCGTCACCCATGGTTGCATTTGACGTTAGTCCCATGGACTAAGGGGAACATTGGCAACACTTTGACACCCAACCGTATCCGGTTCATTCATTTTTCATTTCATTAATTGCGAATGTAAAAACTTCGCTCCGCCGGTAAAAAAATAATCTTCGTCAACCACGGTACGCACGCAACAAATCTTCTAAAATTTCATTAAATTTTTCTATTTTTAAATGTCATAATTTATATTTCTTAGTTCTTAGAGTGATTTGAATGGAACAAAGAACACAAATCTTTGTTCGCTCAGCAAATTTATTGTGGGGAATTAAGTAGATATTTCTTAATTAATGATCAAACAAGGAATAGAGAACGAATCATGTGCCACGTAAACTTAGCATTAGATTCTTGCAGGTACTGAAAGAGAAAATTTATGGACTGTAATGTCAGAACAACTACAACAATATTTTGTTTTGTTAATTTGATTTTTTCGAATTAATAACAAAAGGCGATAACTATTCGAAAACACAAGTTTTGCCATACATACGTTATAATTTGTTGTTGTTATAAATTAATTAATTGAATTGTGATCTGTTCGGTAATCGAAGCAAAAAAAACACATTTATACAGGTCTGGAACAGAGCATATATTGATTGAACTAGTCCATATGCTCATTTCAATGAATCATTCAATCGAACTAATTCGTTCATGAACTATACAACCCTAGAAGAAAGATACACAACGCACAACACAACAAAAAAATTGAAGTTGTTGTGTTTGCCGACGAAAAGGATTGAATCTGAAAAAGTGAATACGGCGGAAATTTAAAAAAGAAATATATAAAAAATAATAACAATTTTGTGATAAAAGCACATGTGGTTTATAGATAATTAAAAAATTTTTAAAGATTGCTAGAAAAAACGGACTTAAACAGCAAAAAAAAAAACTAAACTGAAATTTTGTGTCTGTATCTAATAAATGAATAAATGTGATAAATAATCAAGCCGAAGTATTAAAGCTGTATCTATTTGATTCGGTATAAAGGCAATTTGAATATTAAAAATAATGTACTTAAATTGAAAAAATAGATTTGAATAGTTTATAAAATAAAAAAAGCAAATGCCGCCCAAATAAAAAGACAAAAAGACGCCAAATGAGAGACAACAAACACAACCACCCCCATCCAACAATCGCTTGAGTTCTTGCAAGTATGTATTTTGTGTGTTTTCTTTCTAAGCTTGTATCTGCTGCTGCCCTGCTTCGTCTGTCTGTTTGTCTGATTGCCTCTCTGCTACTCTGCCGTTGTCTTTCGTTGCAGTTGTAGCTACTTCTTTGATTCTGTTTTTCTTTTGCTAGCTTATTGTGTTTTTGGTGTTGTTATGTTTTTGTTTTTCTTACTGTTGTTGTTTGTTGTCGGCGTTTTTATTTGTTTCATTTCCTTCTTTTCCTGCTTTTTTTAGAATTTTGAAAAAGAAATGACATTTTATTTGCATAAAAATATGTAATGAAATCGATGTATATATTGCACCTATGTATATATAAATTGTGTTAAAAAATCTTATCAGTTGGGGATGTTATCTCTTACAAAAAAAAGTCAACACAATTTTGTAAGTCTATTTACAATAAAAAAATTATAAATTTTAACAAAAAGTGGAAGGTTGATAACATTATTTAAGTCTAGTGCTCTGAATTGGCCTGTGATTTTGACCATTTGAAATTTTGTGTCGACGACTTATTCCATCTTAGGAATATATATGTACGTAGGGGACTCATATTTAATAGAAATACATATAAAGGATAGACCCGTGCTTCCTGATTTTAAAATACAACGATAGGAGCGTAAGAAATACCATATTTTTATTTTAATTTTATTTAATTTACCACACTTTTGTTAAATTTCCCAAATGAGACACCTGGTTGGAGTTCCTGCTCCGCTTTCCTTACGTATCATCATTATTTATAATACAAAAATTTGTAATCCTGATATCTTTCGCCGACAAACTGTCAATTGCGGCTATTATAATTGACTGATGTTAATCCGGCTTATATCGGAGTAAGATAAAGCCGTTATCTCATTTTATACCCTCCACCATAGTATGGAGGTTATATTAAGTTTGTCATTCCGTTTGTAACACCTCGAAATATACGTTTTAGATCCCACAACGTATATATATTCTTGATCAGCATAAAATTCTATGTCGATTTAGCGATGTCCTTCCGTCTGTCCATCTGTGGAATTCACTGTAGCTTCCGAACGAAATGAAGTAGATTGATAAAATTTTACTCAAATGTATATTATGTCTGCATGACTTTTGGTATTAAAAATGGGTGATGTAGGTCCACGTTTTGGTAAAGCTCCCATATAATGGTACCTCCCTTTTTTTCGGTATTTTGGTGATTTAAGCGACATTATTCACCGGAAAATTTTCAAATTTGGTATTTGAAGTTCGTAATGGGTACTACAGCCTATGACAGAAAATTGTCTTAGCCCCCTTATAACGGTACCTCGCGATATTCGGTATTTTGATGATTTTAGCTACATTATTCAAAGATTTTTTTAAGTTTCGCATTTGAATATTGTGATGGCTTTTGACAAAAGTTATCTCTGCAGGTAGACCCTTAAATTTTTAAGTTTTTTTTAATATTTTAACTGAATTTTTACCGGATTTTATTGTTTTTGAGAATTGCCAAATTCGTTCCAAATGGTGGAGGGTGTTTAAAGTTCGGCCCGGCAGAACTTACAGCTTTTTTACTTTTTGAATATTAGGGTCTACGTATGTATGTCCATACCAAGGTAAATGCGATAGAGAAATACCCTTTCAAAATCGGTTTTCTAATTTTGGATAAGATTCAAAAAATTTACAAAAAATGGAGTCTTATTGGTCTTTGTAAAATAATTTTCGAAGAATTCAAACCCTTGGCCTGTTCCAGAACTGCATCAATATACAAATTTTTACTACGATAACCGATTTTCCCTTTATGGTATGGTATGTTACTTTAAAAATAGTAAATTCTTGCAGGATGTGGAACAGAGCTCCTTATTGTATTGCAAATCATATGTAATATTAGATAAATTATCACTGAAGCTTCAAGCTATGCCTAATGGGACCTAAATATAAATAATGAGAACCAAAAGCATTGATCTTTTAAAGACTACTTCCCAACATTTATTCTTTATTGATGCTGTTGGATTATCTTAAAGATATAATCTTGTTGTTCTGGCATCATAATATCTAAATAAGGTTCCAATATGCCTTTGTTATGCACTTAACAACCTTGTCATATCCGAGTTCTTACCAAAAACGACCCTTATTCTCGTTTCAAAGTCATTCTAGAAAACCCTCTTGCAATTACATGTCAAGGAGGATGCCATTTCTTAGGCAAGCAGCATCATCAAATAAACTACAAAATAAAATGCTTTGCCAGAAGCGGAAAAAGGAAGCTGCACAGGATCTAGTTTTGCTGTTTTTTTGCCTTGTTCTATTCCTTTAATTTCTTATTCATGTTGTACTTGGGAAACGACAAACACACTGAATACTGAGGCATTACTAATGTTGTTTGCAGAAAATCAATAATCAAATCAGGAGGCAGGCGGAGGGAAGGTAGGGAGTATGATAAAGATATGTAGGTATGTAGGCAGCTGGCGAGCCAATGTAAATAGACTCAAACTGGAAAACTAGTAAATCCAATTAGGGAATAAAAAAGTGACGACGACACACAAATAGCGCAGCAAAAAAACCCCAGCGACACTCACAGCAACAAAAATTTTAAACTTTTGAACCTTTCTCCCAACAATCACAACAACAAGAACAACAACATAAACTCTCAACCCAAACAAGATTGCCACCAAAACAAAACGAAATAAAAGAAGGAAAATCGTTGGCCCCACACGAGAAAAGCGCACATTTCGCATGAATGAAAAACCAACAATCTCGTAGCAGACAGACCGACCGACCGACCAAGGCAACTCAACGCAACACAACACAACAAGAAATAACTTGCAGCAATCTTATGGTGGTATTTTTTTCCAGCCTTTGCCAGTGCTGCTCTTTCGGGATTTTCATTTTCTGCTCCCAACCACCAGCCATCCATCGTCGTCTGTCGTTGGTGGCAGCGGGCACGACGATAGCAACCGGAGCATCAGACGTATGTTGAGCTAAACAGCAGTGTCAGTGCGCGTTTGGCATTCGTCGGCGAAAGAAGTGAGAGAAGTTTTGGGTTTCCAGGCATACTGTTGTTGTACGCGCTCAGCACTGAATGCAAACTGAAAAACAGGAAAAGCTAAAAACAAATATTCCAGAGAATAAATCAATCAATAATCAAAAATAAAACGGCAGCAAAAACAATAAAATATTACCTATCCATATTGGAATTGATATCAAAAGAAAAACAATCAAAAAAAGAAACAATTCAAATAATTATCGCTTGCAAAACACAAACGAAAAAAGTAAAAGTTAATCAAGAGCTGGTGGTCGTCGGGTGTTATCATGGCAGCTATACCATTAACACTGGACATATTGGCATCCCCCACACGGTCTCCACTGGTGTCGCCACAAATATTGGCTATGCCAGAATCGTCGCAAATAAACGAACGTCCATCTGTCCTGGCATTGGCAAATGGGTCACCACAACATTCCAAAGTGTCGCCGAGCCACCTCGGTGGTGGTGCTGGTGGTAGCATTTCACCTGTCATAAGCAGTTTAACGCCCTCATTTCTGCCCGAGATGCCACAGTGGAAACGTGACCTTATCCAAAGACGCAAACAGAATGTGCAACGTACAATAAGTGCATCGTCGCCACAAAACCCAGCAGCATCGCCATCAATAGCCTCGTCACCATCGTCAATGGTGGTTGGTGGCTTAAGAAACTCCACATCTTCATCATCGATGCGTTCATTTGCCGGCAGCAACGGCAGTATTGACCAACTTGCATCAGGTAAGTGAGTGGCAAAATAAACACAAAAAAAAACTCCCCAGCCCCAACTCTTCACTCTTAACCTACGTCCTGCATGCGCCACCATGATACCAAACCAAATGGCCCTGCTAACCAAACGGCAGCAACAACCACACCAATTTAAGATCTATGATAATGTTGGTGATAGCCATCAGTCATCAGCTGCATCATATGTAGATAGGTACATATGTATGGTCAATCTTCCAAGACCGTTGGACCCATGGACTTCATTCACACACACACACTTGGTGCAGTTCAATTCACTTGGTTTCTGTTAAATAATAATCGCCGGTCTGAGCTAATGCTCTTCGATGTGATTTGAATGAAAAAAAAAAAAACAAAAGAAATATTATTGGCGCTGAATTTTTTCTCGTTTTTTTGAGTTTTGGAATGTTGTATGAAACCACTCAAACAATTTTTGTATCAAACTGCAGCGCACAGAAAAATGCAATCAAAGAGCGTTTAGTTACACAGTGATTTCGTGTGGCGGGCTATTCGAAATTGATTTGTTCAGGTATATTTGTATTAAAAAAAAATATATATATTCTTGATCAGCGTCAAATTCTATGTCGATTTAGCGATCTCCGTCCATCTGTGGAAATCACTCTAGCTTCCGAACGAAATGAAGTAGGTTGATAAAGTTTTACTCTAATGTGTATTATGTCTGCAGGACTTTTGGTATTGAAAATGTATCATGTAGGTCCACGTTTTGGTATAGCACCCCTATAATGGTACAGCCTATGACAGAAAATTGTCTGTGCAGGTCCACGTCTTCGTGTAACCCCCATATTACGGTACCTCCCGATATTCGGTATTTTGATGCTTTTAACGACATTATTTACCCGAAATGTTTCAAATTTTGTATTTGAAGTTCGTAATGGACTTTACAGCCTAAGACAGAAAATAGTCTGTGCAGGTCCACGTCTTCGTGTAGCCCCCATACGACGGTACCTCCCGATATTCGGTATTTTCATGATCTTAGCGATATGATTCACCGGAATTATTTCAAATTTGGTATTTGAAGTTCGCAATAGGTACTACAGCCTATGGCAGAAAATTATCTGTGCAAGTCCACGTCTTCGTATAGCCCCTATATAGCGACACCTCCCTATATTCGGAATTTGGATGATTTTAGCAAATTTTGCATATGAATATTGTAATGGTCCACGTCGTCGTATAGATCCTAATATAACGGCTACATTCGGTATTTTTAATATTTTAACAGAATTTTTAACGGATGTTTTTTTTTTTTAATTTCCAAAATCGTTCTAAATTCAAAGATCGGCCCGGCCGAACTTACAGCTTTTTTACTTTTTTTATAAATATTTTGCAAATTTTATATGAAAGGTCATAAGTTGTAGATTATTTTTGTTTCAATAACTGGCTACGTCGGTGAGAAATGGTAACTTATAGTCTGTGTTGTCTGGCCTTGTTTCTTCTCTAAAACTATTTTGTCTTAAACACATATTTTGGATTATTTTTTTCATTTTTCTTTTGCCATGCACCAGGAAATAGTTTTGGATTTCCCAAAACAGAACATGCTGTGTGAAAATTAAACTTTGAAGGCGGTACCTTTTTAAATTTCAAATTGATTCTTAACATTCTAGTTCATCGTACGTGCTATTTAGCCAGTCTCTGGCATTTCAATGTGGTGCGTTAATGATATCTTTATTCTTGTATCATATCAGATGACAGTTTAATTATAATATCGAAACGAAAAACATGAAGTGTAGTATGGAAGAAATATTGTTTTTGATGATTTTTCCGGTATAGTTTTGAAAAATTGTATTTTTTTGGGAATAACTATAACCTAAGAATAAACTTATTTGCAGGTCCCTCCAGGATGTAATACATGAGAGTAGAAAAAATAATTTTTCGAAAAATGGAAGGAAAAAAATTGACATTTTCCACTGCCCTCGTACCCATCAACTTATATTTTTTCTTATTATTTTTTTGAGTTTGGCTTCTAAGCTATGCGTCCTTGAGTTGAAGTTCCAGGATTATAAGCTTACGTTTATATTTTAAGAACCGGGGATTAATGCCGCATCCGAACTCTGATTGGTACTATCATTCTTTTATTGTAGGGGATTTGTATTGACCCTATACTGCTCCTTTTCGTATAAACTACTGTCTTGTGAAGTTTTCCATGCAATAGAGTTTCAAGGGGGTCTATTTTTGCAAACTCAATTAGCGATGATCTTCAGCACAGGCATTTGGCATTTTTCAGTATTTTTTTCGAATGATTGTTTCATGGTCTATGTCTTTGTCAGTTGTTCAATAAACTTTTGATTTGTGTTTTTTCTTTCCCCCTCTTCCCCTTTCGCCTTCTGCAACATTGACTAGTTGTTGTTTACATTTTTCTTCCAATCAATTTGTTGGCGGGATAGATGGTGGATGGTGGTAGATGTGCAGGCCTGTCATTTCATCATTTTTCTTCAATTTGTAGTTGAGAGTTTCGATTTTTCCCTGCTTCACGGAAAAAAGCTTTTGCAATTAATTGTAATTATAAGTTTATGAAACATGAATGAAACTTGAATCCAGTTGCTGTGATGGGGGTTTGTTGTGAATTTGTTATTTTTTGTTGTTGTTATCTCTTTCACTTGTTTTGACCGGTTAGTAAAATTTTCAATGGCAAATTTTTCAAATGCCGATATTTTTGACTTCCTTAAAGGCCGGTGAAACCAATGACCATCACTATTGGGGAGGGTATTTGGCAAAAAATGCTGAAACTATCAATTTTCAAATTTAAATAATTGGACGACATGTTTTCTTTAGAGGAAGTGAAAATTCGATTTTCATTGTCACGGGTTTCCTTATGATTTTTAATTAAACATTTTGAATAAATTGACTTTGTCACTCAATGCCCAGGGTTTCGAATTTTATTTTTATATTGAGAAAAAAAAACGTCCTTATATATTCAGAACATGTATCCAATTTGTGAGGTAATATAGGTATTTATAGGCATTTGGAGTTTGGGATGAATCCTTAAGAGATAAAGATTTTTCTGTCTGCTATAGATGCCCCAAGGATTTTTTTTGAAAAGTTTCCTTCAATATTTCAAATCTCTAGTCTATATAACCGCATACTTACGAAACATTCAAAAAAATTTAAGGACATTTTTCTCCATGAAAATTCAAACTTTATTTTAAAGTGGTCATATGGATATCTTATCTAGCCCATACAATGGCTTTACCCAAAACATTCCCAATGACTGTTCAAAGTAATCGCACGAATTACTTTGTTTTGATAACAATATTGAGTATTTAATGGCTTTAAGTTAATAATACAACCCTCCCCCCAAACAATGGCCTATATTAAGTGTGTTAGTAATAGCAAGGTGATGTCTACAATTATTGAAATTTCATTAACATTCTTTAAAATCGAAAAAAAAGAACAAAAACAAAATTGATTTGAATATTTCACATGTTTTTCTAGAGCCTTTCCACACCAACCTCTCGGCGCGCAACCACCCCCAAACTACCGGTACAGCAGGTGTTTTTTTTGTCGTTTCAATTGTGTTTTGTTTTTTGATAACAAAATTAACACTCAAAACAAAAAAAAATATATGTATTAGAAGAGTGGAGGTGCTGTTCGGCGGCACACAAAACGAAAATGCAATCAAAACAAGAGCAGCAAAATTTGAAAACAGAAAAAAAAGAAACGTTGATATTTTGAAAAGAAATTAATTTGTTGGCGATAAGAAGAACATGTCGATTTTGATGTTTTTCTTTTTTTATCGGAAAACAAAAGAAATAACAAATATGGGAACCTATGTACGGCCATAAAATAAATATTGGGACAACGAACATCGAAGGGGGAGGCAAATGTGAGGTGACAACTATTAGTTTTTTACGAGATAAAGTCCATGTTAGGAACACCAACGCAATAGGCGATAGAAATTCAATTAAAAATGTTTATTTTGGTTAAGTGGTACAATGGCTGAGGCCTCTAAAGTCTGGCAAATCTTTGAGGGATGTAATTACATTGGAAATTTTAGATAGAAATGGCACATTGCTACCGCTGGTGCTGTATTTTCTGGCTATTAACACTTTTTTGGGAATAAAAGCCCTTGATGTATGGAGAACCTTGATGGCAGATGGCGAAGGTCAGCGCCCCGTCGATATGATAATCGATTCCGATTCGGAATCCATATATTGTGGCAAAAAACGAAACTTCTTCCAAAATTATTCCATTTGAATATGGGCGGTATGATTAAAAACGTTGCAGAATTGATAAGATATTGCGTAGCTACAAAAAGCTAGAACTTTTATCTATTGATTGTTTTGAGGAAAAACACGCCATCTCGAAATGTAACAGCTGAAAATGCTTTAAATGAATCATATATGAACAGCGTTATTCAATATGACAACGATTTTTGCATCCTCCAGGGAATTAAAATGTCTACAGCCGACTGGGAGGTAAAAAGAAGAACGCGGCTGCAATGATTAGACAATTTGGCCATACAACGATGTAGTCGATAGTCCAAATCTGGCATGTTGTAATATTTATATCAGTCTTAGGTTCGATACGAATTGACCCAACGGCTTCGGAACCTCCCCTTAAAGGGGAGGCTGAGGGGTATACTCAAGGCTGGGGGTATACATCTGCCGGCAAAACCGACTTGTACTATTTTACTTGTTAGAAAGTCGGTCTCTCATCTCAAAAGGATCTGAAAAAGAGAAAAGCTTTTATAGATCTTATAAAGAAATCTTTGTTTATCATTCTATAAGATTTAGAGAATTAGGCGAATCTTGCGTGGAGAGAAAGAGAGAGAGAGAGAAACATTTGCTTTTTCAACATATTGTACCCAATGTGGAGAGGACTTTATATTTTTTTTTTATGGAAAAAATCGATTAGGGTCGTAGAAATCTGCTAAAATTTTATATTTACAATATTACATTGCCCCTCCAATCTCCCTCATTAATATTTATGGTAAATTTCTTGTGGTTGGTCGTTTAAAACAAATATTAAAAAAAAAAACT